AGTTTCTTTAGATAAGAATAGCAGAAAGGACCACAAGATAAAAGTCCTTTTCACTGATTTATCTCGTTTCAGATTCTTGACTTTTTTCATTTCCTGTTTCTCTCCATCATATTCTGTTCCTTTCCTCCAATAAGAGCAGGATTCAATTCTATTAAAGATTTTTAAATTGAGTACCTGGGCTTTGGGGATGAAAAAAAAAAAAAAGTACAGGAATCTCTTTCCAACTGCTTGAGTTATCCCCACGCGATATCCTAATAAATGGGAATTTCTGTCTAGATGTCACGCTAGCAATCTGAGAACGTCAGTTCCAGCTCACAGGAGCAGCTGCACATTCCTGTTGTGATTATTTGGGAAAAGAAGGGAATGTTACTTTAAGGCAGAGAAGGAGGAGAAAAGAAGGAGGAGAAAGAGGCGAAGGGAAAATGATCCGGCAGGCAGAAATAAAATAAAATAAATTCTTGGCATGGATAATGAAATAACACACACCTTAGAAGTGCACTAAGGTTGTTGTGCAAGGGAGGAGAACTGGGGAGCACCTGGCACCAGGGTATCCCCGGTAGGGCTACGATTAGGGGTGGATACCCCTGGGCACTGAAGAGGGAGTTCGAGTAGAGCTGGGAGCAAAGCAGCACATTATTACCCAAAGCCTTTTCCACTTTAACCATCCAAGTTATTCTGCCTCTGGGAAAAGAGCAGAACCTAGGGACAGCATCCAGGTGATGGGAAGCTGCAATCTCTTACAATCATTAAAAAAAAAAAGAAAAAATGCTTTAAGTATCTGGCAAGAGAACCAGACTCAAGAAACAAATGTCTTACAGTGGGCATATTAGCTTCAACAAAGCAAAACAAATGTACAAAGATTCCTTTAAAACTTGGAAGAAGTGAAATCCTGAAAAGCTGTTAGTGAACAAAAGATGGGAAATGGAAATGTATAGAGTCATACTCATTATTTCTCATTTAAGATATATAAAACATCCTTGATGTGTCTTTCCTTGTTTTGTCTCCATTGTTATATTTTAGTGAATATAACTGCTTTCATATTCCCCCCTGCCCTCAAGTTCTGTATCGTTCTCATAGTCTCAAATTCCATAACAGTGATGATGATAGAAATAGCTAATATTTTAAAGCAGTTCAAACACACTTTATATACATTTTATATAGTCATCAAAACAAACTTATAAGAAAGGAGCTTGGTTAACTCACAGTTGCAGGAGCTTCAAAAAAAAAGTAATTGACCAAAGTCACATAGTAAATAGAAGAGGAAAATCCATTCTCTTATTTGTTGTTTTATCACCCCAATCTTACATTCCTCAATTGTGATGTTTTCAGAGATATAACCCCTATGATTACAAAGAAAGTGTGTCTCAAAGGCCTTTTGAAAATTTACAATGTGTTTTTTAAATCAGACAAAAAGCCTTGTTTATTTTATATATATGTATATATAAAAGACGGCTCTTGCTCACAGAGAACATTTTAGTTATATATCCAAGACATATGTAATCCAAACAATGTAAGATCATGTATTTTAAAAGTCCTAAGTTTGATATATGGGGGATTTTTTGATAATCTATTTAGGGAGAAATCATATTGCAGCATTAACATCTCCTTTGCCCCTGCACAGACAGACAGACATACACACACACACATACACCATTTGTATACATGTAAATACAAGTTAAAATGATCGAGGATAGTCTTACAAGGGACAAAGAAAGGGATAGCAGACACAAATTCAACTGGCATATGCTGAGAACTCTGAAGGTAAAAACACCTGACCCAGACTTGAAGCTTGAGGAGACAGAATTCAGGCATCTTATGGGATGTGCCGGGGGAGGGCCTGGAGCTCGCACTGCTCAGGCTCCTGAACCGCCTTGGTTCCCATCTATCCCAAGACTGGTGGGTCAGCTCTTCAATTCTGTGAACTGCCAAATATCCTTCAGATCAGTCTCCTTGAGTGAGCCAGACTTGCTCTCCCCTTCTTGTACCTGAAAAAGCATTAGCAGCTCTAGAAGGGAAGGAAACATCAAAGGACAGTGAAGGTGACCACGGGGGCAGCTGGTAGACCGGGCTTAGGGAAGAGGAGCAGAATGGGGAGTTTGCTGTTAGCTCAAAGTGCTTCGGTTGAGGACACCTCCTTCTCTCCAGCCCGCCTCCTGAGCTCTTGCTGCCCAAAGTGTGATCCCTGAACCAGGAACAGATCACCAATGTGGAAGCTCAGCCCTAACCCCCACTCCCCAGACCTACTATGTTAGAATCTGCACTTTAACATGAGCCCCAAGGGATGGGGTGCATATTAAAGTTTGGGAAGCACTGATTTAAGCAATGACCCAGATTAGTTCTAGCTTGATTATGCTTAGAGTATCTTCTTAATATCTTTATGTTCTGTTTAAGGATTAAAATATATGACTCTACAAGTTTGGGCGCCTGGGTGGCTCAGTTGGTTGGGCGACTGCCTTCGGCTCAGGTCATGATCCTGGAGTCCCTGGATCGAGTCCCGCATCGGGCTCCCTGCTCGGCAGGGAGTCTGCTTCTCCCTCTGACCCTCCCCCGTCTCATGTACTCGCTCTCTCTCATTCTCTCTCTCTCAAATAAATAAATAAAATCTTAAAAAAAATATATATATATATATATATATGACTCTACAAGTTTCTTTTCTCCTGCTGACTTTGGAGAAGTTCACCAGCATTTGACCTCAGTTTTACTGGATCCAATCCTGCTTCCAAGGTTACAAGATCAAGGGTCTCAGGTTTTCCAAAGGCCCACAAAGTTGGCTACATATTTCTCTTCCACGATGGGCTTCTCTTCAACTCCAGCAGCAGCTGAATTTCAGAAACAACACGTCCTGTCGCACATTCCTTATGGAACTTGCTCCTGGTGTACTTGTCTGTTCTTCCATCCCCAATCCCTTCCAGTTTAGCAACATTGTTTTATGGGACTCTGGGTTGACCCGGCAAACAGACAGCAAAGAAACAAGACCCAGAGAAAATAGGAAAGGAGGGCGCCTGGGTGGCTCAGTCGTTAAGCGTCTGCCTTCAGCTCAGGTCATGATCCCAGGGTCCTGGGATCGAGCCCGCATCGGGCTCCCTGCTCCACGGGAAGCCTGCTTCTCCCTCTCCCACTCCCCCTGCTTGTGTTCCTGCTCTCACTATGTCTCTCTCTGTCAAATAAATAAATAAAATCTTTAAAAAAAAAAAAAAGAAAAGAAAATAGGAAAGGAAAACGAGAACTCTGAGTCCTGGGGAATGAGAGACATGAGTGCCTAGGTTGGGGCAGTGGAGGCTAGGGGGCTGAGTCATGAGAAATGTTCCATCCATTTGGGCACTAGAGAGCACAGACCCAAGATTGGAACCTACAAAAATACTGGAGTCCTAAAGAAAAAAAAAAAAAGGCCATTGATCCCAAACTGCGAAAAGAAGATCAAAACAACAGGAAAGTGTTGCTAGTAGTTTGTTTCACTCCTTTGTCTGTATTAACCTCTTCCCAAGAGTCCCTTCTGAAGACAGCCCTTATGACAGGAACTCTACCTTCTTGGCCTACAAGTCTGAGGTCGCTTAAGTGCAGAAGCCAAGAGAGAGAGAAAGGTAAGATTAAAGAGAAAAAACCCAAAAACACCAAAACTGGGACATCTAAATGGGAAGAAAAGAGAATATGAAAGCTCAGGGACCCAACAATTTCATTTGTAAATAAGCAAAACTAGGGTTTTTTATGTTTTTTTTAAGATTTATTTATTTATTTGAGAGAGAGCACATGCACAGGTGGGAGGGGCAGAGAGAGAGGGAGAGAGAATCCCAAGGAGATTCCATGCTGAGTGCAGAGCCTTACATAGGGCTCCATCCCAGTATCTCGAGATCATGATCCGAGCCAAACCCAAAGCTGGTTGCTTAACCAACCGCACCACCGAGGCGCCCCCTAAGCAAAACTAGTTTTAAGATTTGCTTGGACCCTATCAGCTGGACTGATGTAAATTGCACATGTTCACACCCCCAGACCACTTCCATTTCTGCTTGAGCCTTTCTGGAACAGGGACCAATGGCTGATGACCCTTCACCGTGAATGTGAGGGTTGTGAGTGACACTGTTAAGAATTAACTGATGGGCTACTTCCTGCTGTGATATACAGAAAAATCTCCCTCATACTCAGTTACCTGATTAAGATAACTATGCCAGGGAAAATTGTCCTTGTAGTGCTAAAATGTTGAAACCTGCAGTAGGCACGGATCTCAGAATGTCTGATTCCAAAAGTAGCTCACTTTTCTCCCACAACATCAACCCCCCCCTTCATATACTATAGATCCCCTTCCTAACTGGGGAGGGAGAGGATGAGGCTGGGTGGGAATGAGGGAAATGTTGGCAAGATGTCTAAGGGTCTCACCTCCCAATGGGTTCTAAGGACTGAAAAACGAGGGACAGGACAATAGAATCTCCAGGACAGTTTGGGGGTCTGAGAACAGAGGAGAGTCTCTGCTTCCAATCAGGAACTCTGGAGCCCCAGAGGAGTTGTGTGTGCCAATGGGATAGAGCAAAAATGCCTGTAGGTGGTGGCAGGAAGAAAGGGCAAGAGAATCTGAGAGCAGTCAGGTTTCCCTGTGCCCCAAGAAGGAGATGAAGAACTGACATGGTTGAGGTCTGGACTGACCGAGGAGAAATGTGAGGGGACTAAATTTACCTGGAATTAACTAGATTAATTATTCTACCATTAGGTAGAAAACAAGCTGGAAAAGAAGTATTAAAATCATTTAATTACAGAAAGACATGCTTTCTATACATTGAGTTCAGGGCTTGAAAATTCAAACTCTCTACAAATGTAAAGACTGAGTAAGGAATTCAGACACTGTCCTGCATGCATTACCAAGGGAACTGGATGTTGGTTATTGCAGAGCTAAGTAAGAGAGACTAGATGCTGGTTAGCAAAACAATGCGAATCTTTCTGTAATGCGGCACATATTCAAGATGCGGTTTTATTCATTTTACAGTTTTTTTAAAAATGGCTCTCTATAGATGCACCACAGCTTCGGTAGCGAGGGTAGCTCCCGCCAGGTCTGAGTGTCGCCAGCCCCTCCCCCAGGAGACCGTTGCACTTGGCCCCCCCCTGCTCCTCGGTAACCATGTGCCACCGAAAGGCCGTGATCAAAAACGCTGATATGTCGGAGATGCGACAGGACTCGGTGGAGTGTGCGACTCAGGCGTTGGAGAAATGTAACGTAGAGAAGGACATTGCAGCCCAAATTAAAAAGGAGTTTGATAAGAAGTACAACCCCACCTGGCACTGCATCGTGGGGAGGCACTTCGGTAGTTATGTGACACATGAAACCAAACACTTCATCTACTTCTGCCTGGGCCAAGTGGCCATTCTTCTGTTCAAATCTGGTTAAAAGCATGGACTATTCACACACCTAGTGATCATCCAAAATCAAGGACTGCAGCCTAAATTCCAATAGCAGAGACTGAATTCTTCAGCCTTGCTTAGGGGAACACCTTGATCTTTGAACCTTTATTGTGTTGTTTTGTACAGGGCAGTCTCTGTACAAATTTGTTGTGGTTATAAAACAATTAGTAAAACAGCTTACATTTGTATTTATTTTCTATTCCATACCTCTACCCCATGTTTCTTCTCCTCAAAATCCATTCCTTTCAAAATAAATCTGTTGGAGAAAAAAAAATGGCTCTTGACAAGTTTTCTTTTAACTCACTGAAGGCATCAGAAATGAAAAGTGGATCCCAGTGAGTTTAGGGAAGACAGCCTTTCTAAACTTTACTGAACTCACAATGAAAAACATTTTCAGGGGTGCCTGGGTGGCTCAGTCGATTAAGCGGCTGCCTTTCGCTCAGGTCATGATCCCAAGGTCCTGGGATCGAGTCCCTCATTGGGCTCCCGGCTCAGCGGGGAGTCTGCTTCTCCCTCTCCCTCTGCCACTCCCCCTGCTTGTGTGCTCTCTCTCTCAGACAAATAAATAAAATCTTAAAAAAAAAAAAAAAGATGTTTTCATATCCAGACTGTCGTTAATCTTTTTAAACATCTTAATACCTGTGTATTCTGACTCCTATGTCCAGACTTCAGAACCCCATCTTTGCAGAGGCCCCTACTCTGGGTGCTTACCGGAGCTTACTCTCTTGGGAGGCAACCAAGCTCTGGACAAGTTTTCCCCTCCAGAAAAGATGAGATCTGTCAGCCAATCTCAGTCTTTCCTGCATAGATGCAAAATATTACATGGTTCACATTTCATTACTACATTTTTAAAAAGATTTTATTATTTATTTATTTGAGAGAGAGAGTGAGCAAGTGAACAGGGGTGAGGGGGAGAGGGAGAGAATCACCAGTCGATTCCACAATGAACACGGAGCCCTTCGCAGGACTCGATCTCACAACCATGAGATCATGACCTGAGCTGAAACCAAGAGTCTAGCGTTCAACTGACTGAATCACCCAGGCGCCCCCATTCCTGCATTTGTTTTGATAAAAAACCTGTTTCAATTTTATTAATGTGATTTGTTTACAAAAGGTATAATAATCTATTGCAATATTGTTTCATGAGAAAAATAGTTTCCAAAGTTGCTTGTGATGTTTTTTACATTAGATTTTGAGAAGAATCTGCACATGCCTTAATTCCTGAAACTAAATAGAAAACATTTCAAAATATAATCAGATGTTATTGGAATTTAATTTTTTAAAAGATTTTATTTATTTGTCAGAGAGAGACAGATATCACAAGCAGGGGGCGCAGCAGGCAGAGGGAGAAGCAGGCTCTCCACTGAGCAAGGAGCCCAATGGGGAACTCGATCCCCCAGGACCCTGGGATCATGACCTGAGCCAAAGGCAGATGCTTAACTGACTAAGCCACCCAGGCGTCCCTGGAATTTAAATTTTTTTTTTAAATGGAGATGTATTTGACATATAACATTGTATTCATTTTAGGTATACAACATAATATTACAAATCTGTATCTATCTATGTATGGTAGAAATGTTTACCCTGGGTGCCTGGGTGGCTCAGTTGGTTAAGCGACTGCCTTCGGCTCAGGTCATGATCCTGGAGTCCCGGGATCGAGTCCCACGTCGGGCTCCCTGCTCAGCAGGGAGTCTGCCTCTCTCTCTGACCCTCCCCACTCTCATGCTCTCTATCTCATTCTCTCTCTCAAATAAATAAATAAAATCTTAAAAAAAAAAAAAAAAAGAAATGTTTACCCTAATAAGTTAACATCCATTACCTCACAGTTATAATTTTTTTCATAGGACTTATGACTAGAACTAGATCTACTCCCTTAGCAATTTTTTTTTTTTTTTTTTTTTTTTTTTTTAAGGGAGAGAGTGTGGAGGGGAGGAGTAGAAGGAGAGAGAATCTTAAGCAGGCTCCAGACCCAGCAAGGAGCCCAACACAGGGCTCAATCTCACCACCCTGAGATCATGACCTGAGCCAAAATCGAGCTGGACGCTTAACTGACTGAGCCACCCAGGCACTCCTCCCTTAGCAACTTTCAAAAACATAGCACAGTATTACTAACTGTAGTCACCATACTGTACATGACATCCCCAGGAGTTATTTATAAATGGAAGTTTGTACCTTTTAACCAACTTCACCCATTTCACCCACCCCTTTATCCCCTGCCATCCTCTGACAACCACCAATCTGTTCTATGTATGAGGTTTTTTGTTTTGTTTTTAAGATTCCACAAGTGAGATCATACGGTATTTGTCTATCTGACTTCACTTAGCGTAATGTTCTCAAGGTATATCAATGTTGCTGCAAAGGTAGAATTTCCTCTTTTTTTTTGACTGAATAATATCCCATTCTATATGTTTATATTCATAACTATATATATTATTACATTTTCTTTATCCACTCATCCATCAATGGCCTTAAGTTGTTTTCATATCTTGGCTATTATAAACAATGCTGCAGTGAACATGGGGGTATAGATAGCTTTTTGAGATAGTGATTTCATTTTCTTTGCATAAATACCCAGAAGCTGAATTGCTGGATCAGATGGTAGTTCTATTTTTAATTTTTTTAAAAAAGATTTTATTTATTTATTTGACAGAGAGAGAAACCATGAGAGAAGAAACACAAGCAGGGGGAGTGGGAGAGGGAGAAGCAGGCTTCCTGCCAAGCAGGGAGCCTGATGTGGGGCTCGATCCCAGGACCCTGGGACCATGACCTGAGCCGAAGGCAGACGCTTAACAACTGAGCCACCCAGGCGCCCCTATTTTAAATTTTTTGAGGAACCTCCACAGTGTTTCCTATAGTGGCTGTGCCAATGTGCATTCTCACCAACAGTGCACAAGGGTTCTCTTTTTCTCTTCCACATCCTCGCCAACACTTGCAATTGTCTTTTTGATCACAGTCATTCTGACAGGTGAGGTGATAACTCACTGCGGTTTTGATTTGCATTTCCCTGACGATGAGTGATGTTGAGCATCTTTTTATGTGTCTGTTGGCCATTTGTATGTCTTCTTCAGAGAAATGTCTATTCAGACTTATTTTTTATTCTGATTTTCTGGGGGGCTATTGAGTTGTAGGAGTTCTTTATTGAAATTTAAAGTCTTGGGGTGCCTCGGTGGCTCAGTCGGTTGGGTGTCTGCCTTCAGCTCAAACCATGATCCCACAGTTCTGGGATCCAGCCCTACATCAGGCTCCCTGCTCAGTCTGCTTCTCCCTCTGCCTCTGCCCCTCCCCGCACTGGTGCTCTTTCTCTCTGTCAAATAAATAAGTAAAATCTTTAAAAAAAAAAAAAAAAGACATTTAAAGTCTTAATTCAGATGTCCCACATCACAGCATAAAGGTACCATCCATAGAGATTGGTATGCCAAAGCTACCGTCACAAGCTAAGCTTTCTGAGTTTTGCATACATTTTACTTTGTCCTATGATATGATACGGACTATGTAGATTTTTTTTTTTTTTTTTAAGAGCGAGCGAGTGAGCAGGAGGGAGAGGGAGAGAATCTGAAGCAGACTCCACACTGAGGGCAGAGTCCGACACAGAGCTTGATCCCAAGACCCGAAATCCTGACCTGAGCCGAAACCCAGCGACCCACGCTTAAACAACTGAACCACCCAGGCGCCCCAGCACGGTGTAGTAGGGAATGAGAACGTCGTTAATGATATAGAAATATTAATGTAAAAAATATTTAGTCAGAGAAAATATTCCTATTTTCCTTTTCATTACAGTTTACTTCATTTTCTATTATATTACAAATTCATTAGGTATAATTGCTTTCCTTCCCCCTTATTTTCTGTTTTTTCTCCACTGGTTCATTTCATCTACTTCTCACCCATTTCTTTATTTCTTTATTTCTATGCCTGTGGTTTCTACTTTTTTCATCAGCTTCTATTGGTCTCATTACAGTAATTAATCCTCTTTGCCTTTTATTCTAGAGTTGCTGTTTTTTGGGGGTTTTTTTAAATGAGGATATCAGGGCAGTTTTACTGATAACGGGCTACTCGACCAGGAGCTTGGGTGAGTGGGCGGGATGAGGCCCCACCCAGGCCTCCCGCTTCTCCGGCAGCTTCTTGCACAAGCCTTTACTCATCTCCTTAAATGCTTCGGAGGTGACTGTGGACAGGGTCAGCTCCTCATGTCCCGCGGACAGGCCACAGAAGTGGGAGTCTCTGGGAGAGGGTGCTTGTGTGCGTGAGAGTCGGCTTACGGGCCCAAGGCCCGGTGACCCAGGCGTCCTCTCCCTCTGGAAGGGCCCCGAGCTACCAGCCGCCACAGTCAATCCCACCTGATGGTCTCGCACCTGGCTGGATCAGTCAGCGGAGCATGTGGCTCTTGATCTTGGGATTTTAAGTTCAAGCCCCCACACTGGGTAGAGAGATTACTTAAACATAAAATCTAGAAAAACATAACTACCCAGTAACAAGATTTCAATTTGGTCAACAGGTAAGGACTCTCAATTAGGCAAACTTGGCTAATATGGGACTGTAAAAATACCCCTTAGATCTCCTGCTGCAGGGAGGGCAACTGGCGAAGCCCCTCAGCTGCTGGTCTCTGAACCCAGCACCTCAATCCTGGGAAGGGAACATGGGCTCCCGCACTCTGGTCAGCCTGGCCAAAGCCATCTCTGAGCTACATTGCAGTCAGGGACCTTCCTACCCATTCTCCCTCCTCTGCCTCCCCTACCCAGGGCTCAGATCTCCCTGCCTTCTCCAAACCTCTCCCCTTTCTTCCCTCATAGATATTTCTTCCTATAAATCTCTTGCATGACAATCCTGTCTTGGCGTCTACTTTGTAGAGAACTGAAGTAACACAGGATGGTAAGCCATAAATACAAGATGACTCTGTGACAGATTGCCTCTTCCTTGCATTAGACTCGCCCTTCCAAGTGAGTGACTCTCCTCTTCTCAAAAGTCACTCAATGCTAGAGAACTTCAATTTATAACCAGCTACCACACCCTACCTCCAC